AGCATCAGGCCAGGCACGGTGGCTCATGCCTGTAATCCTAGCACTCTGGGAGGCCAAGGCAGGAGGATTGCTTGAGGTCAGGAGTTCGAAACCAGCCTGAGCAAGAGTGAGACCCCGTCTCTACTATAAATAGAAAGAAATTAATTGGCCAACTAATATATATAGAAAAAATTAGCTGGGCATGGTGGCGCATGCCTGTAGTCCCAGCTATTCGGGAGGCTGAGGCAGGAGGATTGCTTGAGCCCAGGAGTTTGAGGTTGCTGTGAGCTAGGCTGATGCCATGGCACTCACTCTAGCCTGGACAACAAAGTGAGACTCTGTCTCAAAAAAAAAAAAAAAAAAATGAAAAGCATCAGACAAAAAGCACATTGTATGGGATTAATAGAAGATTAAACACTATAGGTGAAAAGATGAGTGAAGTTGAAGATAACAGAAGTAGAAACAAAATAGAGTACAAAAGAGACTGAAAAAAATATACAGAACCTCAGCAAGCCATGGGACAATATCAGCTGGTCTGACATATGTACTGGAGGTCACAGAAGGAGAGAGGAGGATGGAAGAAATGTTTGAAGACAAAATGGCCATTTTTCCAATTTAATGAAAATCATGAATTCACAGATCCAAGAAGCTTATCAAACCCCATGTAGAAGAAATATGTATGAAACTACAGAGATACATCAAAATCAAATTGCTGAGAACTAGTGATAAAATTTTTAAACAGGTAACATATGACTCCAGTAATTACCCTCCTGGGTTTTTACCCCAGACAAATTACAACTTATATTCAAACAAAAAACTGTACACAAATATTTATAACATCTCTGTTCATAATAGCCTCGAACTGGAAACAGTGAAAATGTTCTTTGACAGGTAAATTGATAAACTGGTATGTCCATACAGTAGAATACTATTCGGTAAAACAAAACATACTGCTATATAACAACATTGATGAATCAAGGAAGCATTATGCTAAGTGAAAGCAGCTTATGATTCCATTTATATGAATTGCTAGAAAATGCAGATGCATGTCAGTCATTTCTAAGAGCCAGAGGTTGAAGAGAAAGGGACTGACTGCAAAGGAGCACAAGGGAACTTTTTGAAATGATCTATTTTTTTTTTTTAAATGGCAGAGCCTTACTCTGTCTTCTAGCCTGAAATGCAGTGGCCTGATCATAGCTCACTGCAACCTCGAACTCCTGGGCTCAAGCGATCCTCCTGCCTTGGATTCCTGAGTAGCTAGGACTGCAGGCACATGATACTATTCCTGGCTAGTTTTTTTTATAGAGACAGGGTCTTGCTATGTTGCCCAGGCTGGTCTTGAACTACTGGCTACAAGTGATCCTCCTGCCTCAGCCTCCCAAAGTGCTGGGATTACAAGTGGGACTCACTGCACCCAGCTCTGATCTCAGTTTTTTCTATCCTGATTGTGGTAGTTACAAGACTGACACATTTTTCAAAACTCATCACCTGTACATTAAAAATGAGTGAATTTTATCATATATAAGTTATACCTCAATAAAGCTTATTGAGAACAAAAAAAGGAATGTGTAGGATGTTTATCCTTGACCTAGAGGGATGTCCATGATGTATTGTTATAGGAGAAAAGCAAGTTGCATAGTAGTATATGTATTATTAGTATGATCACCTTTAATAAAACAACACTGGGGAAAAAAAACCAGTATATCCCTCTATATCTGTATGATATTTGCAGGCTCATGGAGAAGTCTTTGGCAGAAAGACACACACGAGACTGGTAACATTGGTTACCATGGGGATGGGAATTGGGGGGAGGAGGAGAGAATATTAAGTTTTTCTTTATATATCCTTGGATAGTTTCATGTTTCATAATAAGCACCTATTATTTTCGACATTTAAAATGAAGATATCAAAATAATATATAGGGGAGGTGTGTATGTAGGAAGAATGGAGAAAGGGATCCACTGTGCCAATGCAGAGAGGTCCAAGGGAACAAGACGTGGTTCTTGGACTAGACAAAAAAGGAGATCTTTGGTGACCTCTAAGGGAACATCTAAGTAGTGGGGTGGGGCTAGAAGTCAGGATGTAATGCATGGAAAAGAGATATAGATTGGAAAGAAAGGCTTTGAGTGTGGACCACTTGTTTAGGAAATTTGGTCATAAAAAGAAATTAAGAAACAGGACAGATAGGGAGGTCGTCGCAGCATCAGTTGGAGGTTTTTTCTTTTTGAAGGAAGGACAGGGTTACCTGTGGCTTCATGATGGCCAAGAAAAGAGAACCAGTGGAGAGGAACTGACCCAAAGTGTTGAAGAATGTGAGTATACAGTGGAGGTGAGGAAGCGTTTGAGATGGGAGGGGAGGCCCTGAGCTGGAGTATCAGCTGTATGCCCTAGTGTTGGTCACTTAGGCTCTGTGTTTTCTCATTAGTTAAATGGGGTTAATAGTAGTACCTAGCTCATAGTGTTGCTGTAAGATAATGTATAACAAGAGCTTTGTTTGCTGCTCAGCTACCGGTCCAGGGGCAGAGTCTCTGGTTTGTTGTGAGTCTGGGCCACGTGAGCCAGTGATGTCATAATGCCCTCGTAGACTCCAGCTTCTCCACTAGGGAGTTGCGGATCCTTGGGAACCAAGGACTCGAACTGACATGCGAGACCTCTACCAACTGGGGGTTTCGTGAGCATACTCTTTTGCCAAGATCTTGGTGAATAGTCTCTCACTGTGCAATTATATTTTAGAAATTGTTTTATTTTTGATCATGATCGTGCTTGGCTGGATGCTTTTTGTTGGACTTGCATGTTACATGGGCACGTTTCCAGAGTTGATGGTAAGTAGTGGCCCTGCCTGTAAATCCCTAGTCGTCAGTCCTGGTGCTGACTCACCCTCCCATTTGGGGTTTCTGACCACATTGGAAAGGTATTGAGGTCTCACCACTAATTGGAAGTCAGGCTGTGATGGGAACAAAGTTAATTTCCCAAGCTACTTCCCATCCCGTTGGGGACATCCTCCTTTAATATCTTTTTTTTCCTCCGCCCTCCTGTGGGAGATAGTACCTGACTTGTGGTTTTCAGGCCAACTGGGTCAGTGGTTATTGGTAGGAAGGAGAACTTTGGAGATTGGTCGGGCCTTTCAGTCACCACGCAGGGGCAGCTGCCTACCGGGCCAATGAGTAGAGCTATCTCCGTCTTTAAACTTTCTTTCTGACTCAGCCTCCAACTCTGAAGTGGAAAGAGAGGTGGCCTGTTCAGGAGAGCAAGGCACGACTGAGGAGCGAGGCTTTGGATGAAGATCTGCCACAGTGAGTAAGCGGTCAGGTCTGTTGGGCTAGATTCTTCCATTTCCAGAAAACTTGGTAGGACCCTGAAATCTCAGTGTAGAGTTCTTATTCCTTTAGAACAGGCGTCCTCAAACTACAGCCCGAGGGCCACATGTGGGCTGCCTAGCACATTTATCCGGCCCTCCGGGTGTTTTTGCCAAGGCTGCCTGTCCTTCTTAGCAGCTGACTCGTCCCAGGCCCACAGTGCACACTCTCCAACGGTCTGAGGGACAGTGAACTGGCCCCGTTTAAAAAGTTTGAGGACCCCATGCTTTAGAAAATACAATAAACTGTGGAAGGGGAAGTAATATGAGGGACTGCTAGGGACAGCAGGCCAGAGTTCTCTGTTGATAACCATGTCTCTTAGGTATTCTTTTTGAAGACTGTTCCCATCTATTAATTTATTTTCTCAAAAACACTATATTTCGGACCAGCATTTCTAATGCCCCTTTTGGCAAATCCCGAAACTGTAGTTAACATGAACTTGAGTTCAGGTCCTAACTTTTCAACCTTGAGAATGTTTAATTAATTTCTCTGAACCTCAGTTTCCTCTTCTGTACCATGGGAGATATCTGAGTATCTTACTGTTTTTGTGAAGAATGCATTTGGGAATTCATGTAAAGTATTTAATGCACAGCTTGACAGTCAGCATTTAATGAAATACTAACTCAACAACTAAGCAAAATAATGAACCAGTCAACAAAGATTTACTGGTGACAGTGACCTCAACTATTTACCCAAGCCCACACCAGCCAGTTCATTGGTGAAGGAGGGATGCAAGCACACATCTCTATGTCTGGACTTAGTAGCCTCTCACATACATTCTACTAGACCAGCCTGCCTACAGGAAACATTAATGGCAACATACCTTTTAGCAAACCATCTCCTGGGTTTCTTACATCCCACCCCATTTCATTCACCTGTTGAACCGTTCCTTTTGTTAGAGAAACTGAACTCGGACTTTTAATAAAGGCTTACCCTTTTGTGGGCAGCTACTCCAGAAGGTAGAGGTGTCAAGCCGTAGGCCCAGGTATACTTAGGAGCAGAACATGATGGTTGGTTTCTTGTGCTCCATCTGTCCTAGGAAATCCCTGGGAGTGTTGGCCCAAAGCAGTCAAACCTTTGTGAGGGTGGGGATGTGGATGGAGGCACTGGGCCCTTGAGCTGAGCCACAGACACACTGTGTGAGGATGACCACATGACTTACACTATTCTGTGCCTCAGTTTCTCCAGCTATGAAATGAGTAAAACAAACAACCCATCTTCCTTCTCTTCCCTTCTAAGGAAAGTTGTAAAGAGGCTTACCATGCATGATGAGGGTTTAACTGTGCCATTTTATAAAATGTAAGATTTTTATTTCTTGAATAGCCTAACAGAAGCATATAGAGTTAATTGTTCATAGTGTTTGCCTACCCAGCTAATTCTCTCAATTAATTCAGGCTGGTTTTTTTTTTAATTTTTTTGGTGGTGGTGGTGGTTGTTTTTTTGCATAGCAGCGTTTTTCACATCTGATTGCATGAAGCCAGTGGCTAAACGTTTTGGCAGGCTGTGATGCCAGCGAGGTCCTAACCACATGGAGTCCCTAGAGAACAGGGCCCTTTTGATAAACTTTCTTTAGCCCCAACACACCTAGCTCACCAGCCCCTATATGCACACTCTGGCTGGGTCCCCAAGGTCACAGGGGCTGATGTCACAATTGATGTCTGAGCTTTACCCCCCAGAATGGTCACAGGTAGCCATTTCAGTTTAGACTAGACCACAAAGCTCCTCAGCCAGAGCTGCCATGTTAGGCCATCCACCATCTGGTCTCTAAGGAAGACAGCTCAGTTCCCAGGAACCAGGGAATAGAACAGCACACCTTCCACAACCACCCTTCTCTCCTGTGCACACTACCAGCTGAGAAAGAAGCCCCACAATGATTGTTGTCTTATGGATGATTCTCATTGCAGGAACGATGTGGAAAGGATATAAATATCCCCCTGGAGGGGTAAGTGTACCTTCAGCTTTGTTCTCTATTCTGTATTTCCCCAGAGAAACAAACTAAGCATGAAAATCTAACTCCCGGCCTCTTTTCTTTATTAAAAAAAAAAAAAAAAGTTGGCTGGGTGCGGTGGCTCACGCCTGTAATCCTAGCACTCTGGGAGGCCGAGGCGGGCGGATCGCTCACGGTCAGGAGTTCGAAACCAGCCTGAGCAAAAACGAGACCCCGTCTCTACTATAAATAGAAAGAAATTAATTGGCCAACTAATATATAGAGAAAAAATTAGCCGGGCATGGTGGTGCATGCCTGTAGTCCCAGCTACTCTGGAGGCTGAGGCAGTAGGATTGCTTGAGCCCAGGAGTTTGAGGTTGCTGTGAGCTAGGCTGATGCCTCTGTGCTCACTCTAGCCTGGGCAACAGAGACTCTGTCCCAAAAATAAAAGTTACTGTAGCTAATCTACTTCTGTTATTCAGGTACACACTAAACTTGTCTGTAATATGATCTTTTATACCTATTTTCTTTTTTTTTTGAGACAGCATCTCACTCTGTTGCCCGGGCTAGAGTGCCGTGGTGTCAGCCTAATTCACAGCAACCTCAAACTCCTGGGCTCAAGCGATCCTACTGTCTCAGCCTCCGAGTAGCTGGGACTACAGGCACGCACCACTATGCCTGGCTAATTTTTTCTCTATATATTTTTAGTTGTCCAGTTAATTTTTTTAGTAGATGGTCTTGAACTCCTGGTCTCAAATGATCCTCCTGCCTTAGCCTCCCAGAGTGCTAGGATTTCAGGCGTGAGCCACTGTGCCTGGCCTATACCTATTTTCTTACGAGTCTTTATTCTTTTTAAGTTCTTCAGTTTGAAAGCAGAGAAAAGGATATTTTTAGGCCCAGAATCAAAGCTTTCTGACTTAGGTGATCCAGTCCCTGTTGTGCTGATAGGACATATCGTAATGTATGCTCAGCTTTCAATACCATTTCCTAAATCAGCCCACTTAAGCAACACAAACTTTTCTCTTCAGCAAGTACACACTACTCTGTAAGAGTTCTTGTGGCAGATGTCTTTCTTCTCTGCCTGTCAGACCTGGGAACATTTCTTTTCTCTGCCTCTTTCAGTTTCCACACTGCTAAGCCTCCCTGTAGCTGGGATAAGAGGCATTAGGTGAGACAGAATTGGACACAGCCACCTCTGCCAGCCCTTGGCAAGGCCAATTTTCTCAGTCTCACACTAGCAACCAATAGACCCACCTGACATACTTTTTTCTCCCCAGACCCCTGTGGAAGAAAGCAAAGATGATCCTGGTGAAGTAATGCAGCTCTGAAGCTCACCTGACCAGCTGTACAGCTCCTGTTGTTGGTTTCGCATAAAGTAATTGCACATTATTTTGTCATATTTTATGTAAAAAGTTATTGCACTTTTTAAGATGAAGACTTGGTATTCTGTTAGCTCGTAACAGGGAGAGGGAGGGTGGGGAGGTATTTGGGGTGGATGGGAGATGGTTGTGTCCCTTCTGTTACATTGTCTCTAACACTGGCATTAAGACAAGATAACTAGTTCAATTTGTCCCCTGTTCTGTGTCCCTAAGGATAGAAATTCTCTGGAGCTCTTTAGACCTGTTGCCCAAGTAATACCTTTCTCTCTAGGTCCAGGGTCTAAGGTGAAAAAAGTGTTACAGAAAAGCCTAGCAATAGCTGCAACTATTAGCTTGTTCTTTGGGGTATTTCTTGTGGCCTTTTCACAAATATTAAGAACCCAAAGTTTACACCATATGGGGGAAGAACCTCATTTTGATATTGGGGTAGACACTAAAGTATGCATTATTTTCACTTTACAATAAACTTTTAAAGCTGCATACTAGCCTCATTTTAGAAAATGGCAAAAATAAAAAAAAAATAAAAAAAAAATAAAAAAAAAAAAGAAAATGGCAAAAATAAAGTCAAAGGGCCAATGCACACAGCTCTGGGTTGCAGAGTCAAGATTAAGCTCAGGCTTTCCCCTTTGCATGCTTTTAAAAAAAAAAAAAAAAAAGAGGCCTGGCGCGGTGGCTCACGCCTGTAATCCTAGCACTCTGGGAAGCCAAGGCGGGCGGATTGCTTGAGGTCAGGAGTTCAAAACCAGCCTAAGAGCGAGACCCCGTCTCTACTATAAAATAGAAAGAAATTAATTGGCCAAATAATACATATAGAAAAAATTAGCCGGGCATGGTGGTGCATGCCTGTAGTCCCAGCTACTCGGGAGGCTGAGGCAGAAGGATCGCTTGAACCTAGGAGTTTGAGGTTCCTGTGAGCTAGGCTGATGCCATGGCACTAACTCTAGCCTGGCCAACAAAGTGAGACTCTGTCTCAAAAAAAAAAAAAGAGCCAAACAAGAGACACTGTGGGATATCCGAGATCTTGCTGTTTAACACATTGACTGCCATATGAGTTGTATTTAACTCAGGCTAGTTTTGAGCCCCGGGCCTCATGAAGCAAAACTCTGCAGTTGGTTGGTGAAAATCTTACTTGATGTTCTTATTGTTACAATTAATATTGACAACTTAATTCTAAAACCATGGATTGCGTTGCATATAACTCATGCACAGAAAATAAAAAATAACAAATTAGAAAGGATCATTTTAATAAAACGCTATGGCCCCAGGGAAAATATATTTTTTTTCTAGTGTGGCACTGTGTTAAATATATCCCTCACCTAAAAAGCCAAGTAGTTGCCTGATGATTCTTTCAGCAGTGACTACTGCTAATAAAGGTAGCATATGCAGAAACAAAAGCTAATTGCTCAGCCCTCAATATGAGTTTGAGTTTATGAAACCAAAAATGGGAACCTAAATATAAAACCTATGCAATTAATCTAGGTATCTGAGCCCTAGGATCTTCCTAATAAGGCCGTCTAAAGGTGTTTTGGCGCTTTCAGAGAGAGAAACCTAACAGGAGCAAACAAATTGTATGCAACTGTACCCATTCTGTGGATGCTTGGGGATGACTGATATAGTTCACTAGTCAACAGAAACACACCCTTTCAGGCAAAGTAGATCTTTCGGTTATAATAGAGAACATTTTGTTGATGGTTTACTATGTTTGCTAAACTGTAAGTGGCTCTTTTGCAGAATGGATTACCCTTTTTTATGCAAAGACAAATGAATTCAAAATCCAGTAGCAAAACTTTAGTAATTTCTGAATCCAGGTACTAGGCATCTCTTGTGATATTTCTTATGTGACCCAGACCCAATACATTGCAGTGAGTTAAATACCTACATTTTCTGGTTGCAAGGCTGTGCCCACTTGCCTCATATACATTTCTAAGGACTCATCTTCTCAGCCATCTCAAGCTTTTTATTATAGGGTATTGGAACCTGCTCATTTTGACAAGAGGAACTGTATACCCAGCTCTGCTTCTTCCCTCCAGTTTGAGTATACCTCTAAAACTCAAGCCATGAAGCTAGATTTTATTGCTCTGACCTCCTAACTTAGGCATCTGAGAGCAGAACAGTTCTCTAAGCTGTTAGGGGGAGAGAAAAGATATCAGTGATAGGGGCTGAGCAGACATGAACATGTAAGAGTGTGGACAGGCGGCAAACCCCATCTCTGAAGTCTGATGATTTTACTGAGGTTTCTAGCTGGGAAAATGTTTGGGGTGATGAAATAAAGAACATCTTAAAGTTTTGATCAATAAATGCAAACCAGTAAAAATATCAATAAAATATTTTTAATGCCTACAATTTCTTATATACATAAATTGTAAAACTTTCACCTGTATATATGCAAAAGTATATATTCTCTTGCAGGTCAACAGCACCAGAAAACAAGCTAAGCTATGTAAAAGTTTTTTTTAAGAAAAAAACTTGATTTGTCCATTACGTAAAAGATATGATGGATTTAATAACTCCAAAAAAATCTATATCCCACTCTTAATTATACACTAAATGTCTGAATATTTCATCACATACACTCAGAAAATAAATAGTAGTCTAATATATTCAGCACATTGAAAATAAAACCACCAGTCTCTCTTCATATATTTATTCTCTTTCCAAATATGTTTTGGTCTCCTGCTTCTCAGAAATGTACTAATAGCTGCTTTTAAGTTACAAAATACAAAACAATTTCTTGGAGAAAATCTTGGGGATTACATTAAAAGTGAAATTTTGAGTTCCCACAGACTTTCTTTTTTATTAACAGTCTTTGAACCTTTTTACGGGACACATGTAAGGCTGCCTGTGACATGTGGTACCCTGGCCTCCAAATGGACATAACTGCATTTATAGTTTAGAGAAAATACAAAGTTCTGAAAGTAGCTTTTAAAAAGTGCCCTTTGCTTTGACATAGCAACATCAAAAGCAAGTGAGACTGTGCAACCAGAGCCATGAGTTTTATGAAAACTACTTTCCTTTCACATCATTTGTGTTAGAGAATGCCACACCCATGATCATGTATTATTACAATCATGAAATAACATTACTACATTCGTGATTAACATTACCCAATAAAAGGCACATCTTCAAATACTGAATTAAGAAAATTTGAAAATCAACAGTAGAGGATATATTAAAAGAAAAGCACATAATTCATAAACCTTGATAAAATAATAGCCTATTCCAGTTTCTTCAAAGGTTTGTGAGCTTTTTGTAATAGTCAGGATGTACAGAAGGACAAAGTGGAAGACAGGTTTGAAAACAAAGCCAAAATTTAAGACTCATAACCTTTTTCTTCTTTAAATGAGCCACAGAAGTACCCTTTTATATTTATGTAAATCAACATATATGTATTATAGAAGAAATGTACTCAGAAGTGACAGGCATACAAGGTTAAAACCTGACTCTTCCTACCAAGTTCTGGAAATTTATTTACCACAATAGGGACTTTCTTTATAAGTAACTGAACCATATCGTTAAGTGCTAGTAAACTTTAAGCCACCAGAGAAATTTTGCAGCTATGACAAGCACTTGATTATAATTAAAGGTTTCAGAGTCAATGCTGGAAAAAAAAATCCAAGAAAAAAACTTTTGAAGGGGGAGTGGGGAAAAAAGAACATAAATGATAGCAACATCATACTACCTTTAAATTTCATTGAAAGTATTTGAAATGAGTGAGAGGAAGTCAATAGGATTTTCTGCTACCAGCATAACAGTTCTATATGGAGAGTTGGGGTCTTCTTCCTAGTGATGAAAACACCTTTTATGGGATTTCAACTTCAAAATTAAATCTTTGCACTTTGAAAGTCTGAAACTTGATTAAAGATGAGTGGGTTTGAAAGGACTGGGTCACCTGCTCCCATTAAGGGAGGCTTATAATGGCAATATATAATACCCAAACTTGAAGAATAAAGACAACTTTATGAGTAAAAAGGAATACACAAAAACATCTGGACCTGTTGAAGAGTAAGCATTCTTTGTAGGACTTCTCTACTTCCTAACGCCTATCGTCCAATGGCTCAAGAACATATATTGTAGAATTGCCCTATAAGCTTATGTCTGACTTCCCCCAACCCTCCACATTTAAGAGTCAAGGACAAATGTTCTCTAGCATCATCATATCTCATTTTCTGTTGCTGACTGTCCATTAGACTTGGCTTCCTTCCAGCCAGATCCTAAGTCAGCCTGATTGGAACTGCATTGACTTGAGACTTCAGTGATATCAAATCTATAGCTATAACTTAAAGAAGGGTGAAAATGAAATTCCACAGCCCAGTAAAACACCAGTAACAAGAAATATCCTTTTCTACCTGGGAAAAAAATCTCTTCATAGTGCATAGTTTGAAATAAAAGTGCAATATGGACAAAAAGGGGAAGGTGGTGCTCTTGACATAAATTTAGTTTTTGGTTTTTTGCCATTAATATTTGCTAACAAATTTAAGCTAAAAATGCAAAGTTATTAACATCAAGAGGTACAGGGGAACCTTGGGATTTCAAAATAGCTTTATCATGGGCAGGGAATGGGGAGGAGGGGAGCTTCACATGTCACTTTCTTATTTTTTAAACTATTACTCTTTTAAATCTAATGTTTGAATAAAATATTTTCTTTAATATAAAAATGATTTTTTATGGTAAAAAAATCAATCAGCACAGTGACCTTGTCTATTTAACGCTAAAGCCAAACTTAACAGTAAATCTGAAAGGAAAACTTGGAAAAGAATATTATAATACATAACCTGTATTTTAACTTGGAAAACTTTTCATTAATTGCCTAATCACCTAAATTAGTAAGAATGCTCAGCATCCAATCCATGAATAATATAGAATTTATTCTACTTTGTACTTCAAAGTCACAGGGATGGCATCCATATGATAATTATAAAGCCTACTCTACATTTTTAAGTTCTCAATCCAATCATAGATTAGGACAAGTCACTTTTTTGCTGGCAACATTCATGGGAGGGCCAGTTTCCTCATAAAAAGATAATAAATTTGATTAGGAGTAGGGCAGTGCCCTACTCACATATCAGAAAAATTATAGAAGTCAAGGAACAATCTTTTTTCTCCTTTCAAAGTATCAAAGGAACAACAAAAGATTGGTTGACTGGTGAGCGGCCCCATATTAGAGTGCATAGCTCATCAGGATCAAGGCTGGCATCTGTGAACAGTTAACTTTATAAGAGCACACAGTGGGCATTATATCATCTGCATTACAGATTGCACCCTGGAAAATATTTGAAAATACTTTATGCTCAAATGACAGCCTGCAAACAATATGCATTGTTTTTTCTTGAGTACCCAAGTATAAATCTAAAACGATAGGGGGTATCTTCAAGCCTGAAGACAGGAAATTCTTTCAGTAGAATGTCTCTGGAAGTTCACAAAAATAAAAGCAGCAGCTAATGCCTCTTGAGCTTTTTGACCTTTCGACGTCGCATTTCTTCTTCTTCACGTCTCATTTCCTCTAAGTCCTCTTGCATACCTAGTCTTAAACTGCCAAAAAAATTTTTAAGAGGGTATTCATCAATACACATGATATTACCACTTTCTTTAAAAAGCAAGAACAAAATTTTAACTGGGAGCTCACATGGATTGGGCTGAGGCACTCAAGATGCCTCAAGGCTCTACCACTGCAAACAAACTAGTAGGGATTCTTTTTCACCAGGGGCCTGGACCCAAATTGTAGTAGAAAAAGGATCTCTCATACAACAAAAAATACCTTAACATCGCAAAAGCTTTTAAAAATAAAGAAGAAACATTTATTCATTAACACTTTAGCTTGATATTTTATCCAGTTACAGGAGGGAGGGCAAGAGAGAGAAAAAGATATTTAATATTCTGAGTTGAGACTGAGGTGAATTATTTACCTATAATTACTAGGTAATTATTATTAATAATAATTAACAGTATAGGCCAAGCACGGTGGCTCACACCTATAATCCTAGCACTCTGGGAGGCCGAGGCGGGAGGATCGCCCAAGGTCAGGAGTTCAAAGCGAGCAAAAGCGAGATCCTGTCTCTACTATAAATAGAAAGAAATTAATTGGCCAACTAAAAATATATAGAAAAAATTAGCCAGGCATGGTGGCGCATGCCTGTAGTCCCAGCTACTCGGGAGGCTGAGGCAGCAGGATTGCTTGAGCCCAGGAGTTTGAGGTTGCTGTGAGCTAGGCTGATGCCATGGCACCCTAGCCAGGGCAACAGAGTGAGACTGTCTCAAAAAAATAATAATAATAATAGTATAAATAAAGTAATTACTTATAACCTCTGCCTGAGAAACTATCATTAGTTTACTATCAGATAGCCAAACAGGAATCAGAGAGAGGGAATCTACTATACCTCTATCAGGTCCCTGAGGCTAGCAGTGTTACAGGTTAGCAAGATTGATATGTGTGTGATAGGGGAAGAAAAGCAAGAATATGCTACAACAGGATTAGGGGAGGCCTCAAGCCCCCGTTCCCAATGGTGCAACTATAGCAACAAGTAAAGAATTTTTAGGACATTTTAGCACAAACATCTTAAGTTTTATGCTCACCTCTTTGCTTCTTCTTTCTGCTGCTCTTTCCAACTACTCTCCATGTAACGTAAGGCATAATCACTTTCATCTTTGTATCTGAAAAGAAGTCAAAGTTACAAAAAAACAAAAATTCAATTTTCTAGAGGAACTATATCCTGTCGTTTAAAAAAATCAACATCTCTTTTATAACTAAATCAAATATACATTTAGGATTATTCCCCCTTTGCTTGGCAGAGAGTAAGGGGACTGGAGGATGAGTAGATGTGAGTTTCTGAAGTAAAGACAAATTAACTGAGCTCTCATTATCCTCAGAGGGCAATTATTCCTGAATCTAATGCTGATGAAGGTACCAATGCAACAATGCTTCCTCAATTCACTCACCTGTATTTGATAATTCATATTAAAATTCTGAAAGCACAATATATATGAGAATTATTTTGTGTACACTAATCTCATTTAAGTTTCATTAGCATCATGAGGTAGGGAATGACTTTAGAACAGAGGAAACTAAAGCAGATAGGTTAATGGCTTGACCAAGAACATACAGCTATATAGCAACAGCAGTCCAGCAGTTAAGATCAGATTTTTAGATCTGATTTTTAATCTAGTTCTTCCTTCTACTCTACTACCTTTAAAAAAGAAAAAAAAAACCTTTTCTTAGGATGTTCTCTGCCATTTAGATTTAGATTCAGTAGGTCTGAGGTGGGGCCTGAGAGCCTGCATTTGTAACAAGCTCTTAGGTATGTTACTGCCGGTGGTGCCATACAGCTGTCCAGAGACCATACTCCTCAGTAGCAAAGCTTTTTATACCAAAGAAAAAGCAGGTGTCAGATCAGCCTGGCTTTCAACAAGGCTTTGTGGATGGCTGACTTCAAAGCCAATTTATTTAATACACTAAGCAGCTTCATTCTTATTAAATATATATCTTATAAGGACAACTGCTTAAAAGGGGTATTCATTTTTTTAATTATTATTTTTAAAGGCAATAGACTACTTTTCTCAAAGGAGTTACTATTTGGTCTTCATGCAAATAACTACACAAACTAGTCTGAATTAATTCTAAAATATTTAGCGCCAAGAGTAAATCTATTTAACGATCACTCAAGGATTCCCAATTAAGAATTATATTCAATGCCTTTACAATGTTTTTCTCCTCCCATAACACGAATTATTCAAAATAAAAAGTATGTCATATCTACATCTTCTTTAGCCTTACTTTTTTCGGTCATAGCCAAAGATTTCTCGAATGTGCTTAGATATTTCTTCCTGAGATTCTCCTTCGTCTTCGATAAAATCTTCCATTTCAGAGTCATATTCATCATCCTCATCTTCCTCTTCATATTCTCGATGCCTTTTGTAACCAATGGGGAAGGAAGGCCTTTGAGGACCTAAGAATAGAAACCATTATTATTTATAAGAACCTTAAAATTTAAAATAGGCCCAGAGTTCTATGTAAATTGAGACTGTGAGAAATACATTAAGATAGTAACCTTAAAAACCAGAGTGAGCAGGCTGGAGTCATTACTACATCATCCCTGCTGTGTCATGGTATCCAGAAAGAACAGAACTCCTGTTTATCCCAGGGCTTACTAGAAATGTCTTCTTACATTTTCTAGCTTAGTAGTGCCCATGTTTCTGAATCTAAAAGATCAGTAAAATTCTAAAAATAAAAACATTTACAAACTGCCACAGAATCACTAACTTTTAATTTTGCCAAGATAGCAAAAGTAGCAATTATCATATACTATCACCTAATTTCATTTAAAACTTTTTAAGTCCAATGAAGTATGAAAGAGTCTCAGAATTACAGACAATTGTTCAAACTAAGTTTGACTACAAGAACTCACTACAGTTTTTGTCATTTTACCAAAAGACTGATAAAAACTTAGTAAAAGATAGGCATTGATCAATAGACCAGCATATGGGATCAACTACTTTCTATAGTCTTTGATTACAGATGCTCCTTTTGTTCTTCTACAGTTGTTTTTCATATGCATCTCTTCTCTCTCCAGAGTTTCTCAACCTTGGCACAATTACGTTGGGTCAGTTAATTCTTTGGTGTGGGGGACTATCTTGTGCATTAATAGCAGCAACCCTGGCCTCTACCTACTAGAGAAGTGGCATTCCCCTAACCCCAGTTGTTGATAATCAAAAATGTCTCCAAGACTAAGCATGGTGGTTCATGCCTGTAATTCTAGAACTTTGGAAGGCTGAGGAGGGAGGATCACTTGAGGCCAGGAGTTTGAGACCAGCCTTAACAAGAGTGAGACCCTGTCTCTACAAAAAAATAGAAAAATTAGCTGGGCACAGTAGCATGTGCCTGTAGTCCCAATTACTCAGAAGGCTGAAGTAGGAGGATCCCTTGAGCCCCCAGGAGTTTGAAGTCACAGTGAGCTATGATTATGCCACTGCACTCTAGCCCAGGAGACCCTGTGCCCCCACCCCAAAAAGTCTCTAGATGTTGCCAAATGTCCCCTTGGGGACAAAACTGCCCTAGGTTGAGGATCAATAGTTTAGTTGAATTAAGAATTTTAAAGCAAGGAATTTCATCATTGATTTCTGTTTATATTCTCCATGGTGCCTAACAAGTGCCTATTAGCATAAATCAACTATGACTTAGCAGCTAACAGATGCCACCAATGATCCTGTACCTTGGGACAGCAGATTCCTCAAGGATTAGTGGTTAGGACCTTGATACTACCCAATATAAGCAGCAGAAACACAAGGACAGTTTAAAACAGTTCCTGGCACATAATGGGTGCTTAACTTATGTTTGCTCAATATATATACATTGAAAGGCTTCAAGCTTACAACTACACTCTGATCCGTGAAGACGAGTCTCTTTGGTCCTCAGAAAAAGGTAAAGATTACCTCATCCATTGTACCATATATATAAAGCACGTACATTCACCCTGTCTCACAAATCACAAAGCTAAGTTTATTGCACTTGGAGGACACTGCATGGGTGAGTAGACCCTAGATAAGTCTTTCTAAAGACTTTTCCAAACTACAATCATTAAAGAAACTCTCAGCCACAGGATAAACAGCCCATCAGGATTCTATCAACACTAGATAGAAGAGTGCCCATGTGCTATTAAAGAGCACATGAAAGGGTTCACAGGGTCAGGGTCCCAGGTCACATAAAGCAAAGTATTCTTTCCAATTTCCTAGTGACAAATAAATACTCTTTAGGGTGGTGGCAATTTTACCTTGAGCAGATCTGTAGCCAGATAAGGGAGGCTTCATTCCATTCATCTGTCCATTGCTAGACCGGCTAATGATATTCTTGGAAGAAATTGTTTCTGAGACAACAGTGCACTTGGGCTTTATGAGGGGACCTGAGCTACTAACTGTTCGCCCAGGTCCCAAGCTGCTCACTGGTCTTCCAGGGCCTGAACTACTGACAGTCCTTCCAGTTGGAACTGAGCCACTTATGGATCTCCCAGGGCCACTGACTGATGGCCCAAGGGGGCCTGAGCCACTCACTGGTCGTCGAAGGTCATGTGGACCGCTCACAGGCCGCCCAGGGCCTCTAGAGCTGCCCACAGGTCTCAAAGAACTACCTGGGCCACTGATGGGTCGCCCGGGGCCACTTGAGCTGCTTATTGGTCGTCCAGGGCCAATAGCACCACTGACTGGTCGCCCAGAGGGATTCGAGTCACTGGATGGCTTCTTGGTCCCACTGATGGATCGCTCAGGTCCTGAGCTGGAGCTGCCATTCTGCCACCTGGGTGTAGGGCCAGAATTAACTGTGGGTCGAGCAGTTGCTATGCTGGGCCGACCAGGGGCTGAGTTGGAGCTGCTGCCTGGCTGCCTGACACCTGCACTCTTAGCCTTATTATGTGGAATGACCATGGACCCAGGCTTGGAATGGTTAGGATTGGGAGATTTTTTGGCTTTGCGCTCAGTAACAGATTTCTGAGTCCCGCTAGCAGAAGTCTTTGGGACACTTGGTGAATAGGTACTGGAATGGGGCTTTCCAGCCCCATTGAAAACAGGTCTGTTATGGCCCTCACGAAGTGAGGGTTGGGAGATATTGCCGGAGCCTGCCTTGGTCCTCTCTCCTGGCATGCATTTGGATGAAGACAAAGCTGAGTGTTTCTCACTGGCCGTGCTGGCTCTAGATTTCTTCTCAGCATGAGGAAGGGGCATTCCCTTGGAAGAAGGATGCCTGTCTTCATAAACTTTGCTAAGTTTTGTGCCCATGCTTTCTTTCTGAGAGGGTGCCTTTTTGGACACAGTTGGAGGTAGTTTTACATCTGTCTCAGGCTTCTTTTTCCTACGCTTTCGTTCAAGGAATTCTCGCTCCCTAAGTTCTTCTGCAGTCATAGGCCGCTCTTCTGATTTCTTCACTACCTTGATCTCCACTGGTTCAAACTGCTTTTTCTCAGCCAGCCTGAGTAAATCAGTGAAGTTCATGGGTGGTGGGGCACTTTTAAGGGAGACCTTTGGTTTGCTTTCAACTTTGGGAGGTTCTTGCTCTTCCTCATACTCCTGCTCGGACTCTACTTGATTGTATTCAACATATTCATCCTCTTCTTCCATCTCATACTCTTGGTCTGTTCCCTGGCTGGTGTGGCTTTCCATTGCCTGCCTCTTCTTTGACTTTTCCTCAATAGGAATTCCATCATAACCATGGAAATTATCTTTTGTCCTCTTGGCCATAGCTCTTGCTTTCTTGTCATGTTTGAGCTCAATTCGTTTTTTCACAAGATCTTCTTTTCTCCTTTTCTCTTCTAAGGCTAAAAGGGACAAAACAAGAACATGTTATTATTTCAAGGTCTGAAGATAGCAGTATGCTCAACTGAAAACACAAACAATATTCAAGTTACAGTTTGAAAACATCTAGGAATCAAATGAGGAAGTCATTTAAACAAGTATCAGTTGAGTCATCTTTATGTAATGAGTGGGACACATACGGGTTTTTCTATATGACTAAGCAAGTAGGAGACTTGGTTTTCAGCTTTAAATATAGAAAATAGTTCATATGAAATAAATATACCAAGTTAAGGGAACATTAGTATCCACTTAGCAGTTTTTACTAATTATGACTCAATGAATACTTAAACATATGCAATCAGTTTCTTTGCATTTACATGAAGTAAAACTACTTGAGCTTAATGGTTTAAAAAATTATCCTTATTTTAACTTTTTAGATAGCACTCTTATTAATAAAAAAAATTAAAACACAAATAGGTAGAAACGGTTTCTGAACAAAGGTTAAAGAATGAAGTTACTGGGAACTCCCAATTACAGGACATGGTCACTAACCCCCAAAAGCTTTTAATTTAAGGAAGAATAAAGGAAATCTTCTATACAAATGATTTACATAAGAACATATGTAAAGCCATAAATCCAGTTAACCCAGACAACACCCACGCACCCCACACCACCCCTGCCAAATCTACTGGCCTTTTACGTTTTTACAAACATCCACTGGTTAAGTACAAGCTACATGTGAAAGTAGAAAACTTACAATAGAAAAATAGTAGAAAACTTTAAAATTGAGAATAAGGCTACAGATGTGTACCTTTTTGTCTGAGTTCCTCTTGTTTCCTTTTAAGAAAGGCTTGTACAGCTGCTGACTGGACACCTTTAACTTTTGGGTCTTTTTTTGGAGGCCCCACTGCCAAACTATACCTTTTCTAAAAATAAAAACAGAGTAAAAGTCTATTAGGTATAAGGCACTGTGTCAAGCAATAGAGAGGCTTAAATACTAACTGCAAAATCCATTCTGAATAATTAAGAGATCATATAACCTACATTGAAGCTTAGCTATAAAATTTCAGAGTAGATATTGATTATACATGGCTATTTTTAGGTGCAAGGTTTCTATGTAACATCCCAAAATAATGCTGAAATGAACAATTCAAACAAATTCTGTTTTCAGGCTATTTTCCAAAAAGGTATTTAATACCTGGACTTGGTGACAAAAAAAAAAAAAAAAAATCACCACTTAAAAGAAATAGTTTGTGTTTTAAAATTCTGATTAAAAAAAATTAGCTTTCCTTCAAACAAAGCATCTTAAATTCCAATTTTTCAAAGAAACAGAAAAAAACTATTCCTCACAACTATCTGCTGACTACCCTACTCCAGATGATTTTCTACTAGGGACTCATAGCTACATAGGTTATTTTGCTTAGAATATGGAAACACTGAGATTTTATTTTGGGCAAAGGCTAGGGGCAAACCATAGCTAGAAAGCATTTCAAAGAAAACTAAGAAGGAAGAAGGGTCTAGGTCTCTTAAGTTTTCACTGTAGGTCTTATGTTCATTAAATATTAATTTGCCACACAAACTCTTTTTTAAACAGGTTTCTCTATCACCCTAAAAAGTGCTTATATTATCCTGGCACAGATGGTATTTCTCTGGACTTTAGTTTTGATGTAACTGCATTGGGAAATGACTAACACTAGAATAATGTTAATTTGAACTATGAAAGGAAAAATATTTACATTTTAGAAGTATCTATTATGAGAAAAGCATGATAAACATAGAGCTAATAATTCAGATGATTCATATATAAGACCATTTTCACATTAAACTTATGGGCCAGGAAATAAGATTTTTAAAGTGTCCTCTCTCTTTTGTCATGTTAGGCATATTCCATTCTTATCTACTGAACCTGTTGCTGTGGCTAGTAAAAAAAGAAACACTAACCCTCTGAGAACAAAGCGAGCGACTTAGGCCCAAGATGTGTATGAAATTCCTGGAGCGAAGCCAAAGGATATGTGCTGACTATAAAACTGCCAAATACAAACCATCTCAAAACAGGGTGGAAATTCCAACTAAATTAGCCTACCAATGAAGCAACTGGCCAAGGAAGCAGGCTCTAATCCAACTTGAAAATCCTGCATGATAGCACTGCTAAGAACTGACACATCCCTGACAGAAATTCCAAAACACTATCCAGATTTCTTTCCCAGTCACCTTGGCTACATCACAGTGAGATCCTTTAATTAGTTCATATCTTGTAAATTTAATTATAGACTTTCTATAGTAGATAGGGGCTCCATATTTAAAGAAGAAAAAGGAGAGGGAAAGGAAAACTAAGGAGAAAGAGAATACTGCTAACCTAAGTAGACATATAAAATTGCCTCAAACACAGGTCTTATTTACGAGCAGCTCACATTTTCACTGTGGAAAGGACACCAAAAATATGAATTCAAGTTGACAGAAGACATAACAAAAACTCATAAGCAGAGGTACACATTCCACTCCATCCCACTGGTAGATTTGGAAGAAGAGGAAGGTGGATTTTTGTCACCAAGACTTAAGATTTTCCTGTCCCTATCAACTATATAGCTCATAGATTCACCTGCCAAATCAAAGCCTATACAGGGTTTCCCCAAGAAAAATACAAATATAAACATTAGTGCTATTTAAAACAGGACTAGTTTGCTGTTTAGATGACTCAGCACTGAGCACTACCTAACATGATTTTTGGATAGACATCTTTTGTCATAACCTGGGACTCCAAGAGGTAGAAAATTGGATATGTCTAGCCAAAAAGTTGCTCTTAACTGAATACTGGCACACAAAAGAAAAAAACAAGTGTCAATGGGCACAGTTTAATGCAGTGTTTACCATGCTTCGGTCATTCGCATACTACCTTCATGATTTTTGCCTTTTTAGCATATTACCTATACTATTATTTACTAATTTAAAAACATACACAGACCTAATACCATGACATATTATTATAGCTTTACTTCAGCAATAATATCCAATAATATCCACAAAATGACTGGCTTGAAAAGCTAGTTATATTTTTCCAATTCATATCAAAATATTTAACTACTAAGAAAAAAGGATACTTGTATGCCACCTAAAATCATGGTACATCCAGGCCTATGTGTATTCCCCTTTAAGAAACACTTAGGGAACAAAAAGAGGCTGGGTTGATCCAGTGGCTCACGCATGTAATCCCATCACTTTGGGAGGCCAAGGCAGAAGGGTTGCAAATGCATAAGGCCAAAAGTTCAAAACCAGCCTGAGCAACGTAGTGAGACCCCATCTCTACAAAAAATAATAAAACTTTAGCCAGGTGTGGTGGTAGTAGGGGCTGGTAGTCCCAGCTACTAGGGAGGCTGAGGCAGGATGATGCTTGTTTGAGCTCAGAAGTTTAATTCTACAGTGAACTATGATCATGCTACTGCATTACAGCCTGGGTGACAGAGCAAGACCCTTTCTCTTAAAAAAAAAAAATACAGGAAAGGAAGTGTTCCAGAACATTTTAATCATCTCCCAAAGAAATTCCTTACCCTTTAGTAGTTACTTCATATTTCCCTCTTCCTTAGCCCCTAACAACCACTAATCTATTAGGTTGGTGCAAAAAGTAATTGTGGTTTTAGCATTGTTGAAATTTGCTGTTTGATATTGGAATCTTAAATGTGGTTATGTTATACATCATTTTAGTGCACATTTCTCACTTTATTTTTTTGCTAATGACATTACTTACTGTTTATATTTATTTTAGACAATGGAAATGATGTTAGACAAAAAGCAAATTCGAGTAATTTTCTTATTTGAGTTCAAAATGGGTTGTAAAGCAGTGGAGACAACTTGAAACATCAACAACGCATTGGCCCAGGAACTGCTAATGAATGTACAGAACAGTGGTGGTTTAAGAAGTTTTGCAAAGGAGACGAGAGCCTTGAAAGATGAGGAGCACACTGGCTGACTGTCAGAAGTTGACAACTGCCAACTGAGAGCAATCATCAAAGCCAATCCTCTTACAACTACACGAGAAGTTGCCGAAGAACATGTTGACCATTCCACGGTTGCTGGGCATTTGAAACAAATTGGAAAGGTGAAAAAGCTCGATAAGTGGGTGCCTCATGAGCTGACCAAAAATCAAAAAAATCGTCATTTTGAAGTTTCATTTTTTCTTCTTGTACTCAACAAACCATTTCTTGATTGGATTGTGACATGCAATGAAAAGTGGATTTTATACGACAACTAGCAACAACCGATAAGAAGCTTCAAAGCACTTCCCAAAGCCAAACTTGCACCAAAAATGGTTATGGTCACTGTTTGGTGGTCTGCTGCTGGTCTGATCCTCTACAGCTTTCTGAATCCCCACAAAACCATTACATCTGAGAAATATGCTCTGCAAATTGATGAGATGCACCAAAAACTGCAATGCCTGCAGCTGACACTGGTCAACAGAAAGGGCCCAATTCTCCACTACAACACCCGACTGCATGCCACACAACCAACACTTCAAAAGTTGAATGAATTGGGCTGGGAAGTTTTGGCCTCATCTACCACGTTCACCTGACCTTTCCTTTCTCCAACCAACTACCAATTCCTTCAAGCATCTCGACAACTTTTTGCAGGGAAAAAGTTTCCACAACCAGCAGGGTACAGAAAATGCTTTCCAAGAGTTGTTGAATCCTGAAGCATGGATTTTTACTCACCAGGAATAAACAAACTTATTTCTTGTTGGCAAAAATGTGTTGATTGTAATGGTTCCTATTTTGATTAATAAAAATGTGTTTGAGCCTAGTTATAATGATTTAAAATTCATGGTCTGAAACGGCAATTACTTTTGTACCAACCTAGTATTTTTTGTCCCTATGTGTTTACCCATTCTGGACATTTCACATAAATGAAATCATACAATATGTGACTATGATGATTAATTTTATGTGTCAACTTGGCTAGGCTATAAGTACCCAGTTATTTAACCAAACACTAATCTAGGTGTTGCTGTGAAGGTATTCTGTGGACATAATTAACATCTACAATCAGTTGACTTTAGGTAAAGATGATTACCCTCCATAATGTGGATAATCAGCTAAAGGCATAAGAGCCATAACAGGTTTCTCAAAAAAAAAAAGGAATTCTACCTCAAGACTATAGCATTAACTCCTGCCTGATTTTCCAGCCTGCTGGCCTGCCCTACAAATTGTAGACTTGCTGGCCCCTATAATCAATTCCCTAAAATAAATCCTACTGGTCTGTTTCTTTGGAAAACACTGATACAAATGGCCTTTTGTATCTGGCTTCTTTTACTTAGCATACTGTTTTTAAGGTTTATGTTGTAGCACATATCAGTATTTCCTTTTCATGACTGAGCAATATTCCATTGTACAGTTATACCACATAATTATCTATTCATCAGTTGGACATTTGGATTGTCTGGGTTTTTTGGCTATTGTGAATAATGCTGCTGTAAACATTTGTGTACTAGTTTTTACATGGACATGTTTTAATTGCTCTTGGGTATATGACCATATATCTTGTTAACAATGAGCTGGCTAGCCCTTTCAATAGTGGCTGCAATCAGATCCTGGTATCAAAAGATAAGTTGTAATGGAATATTTTTAAAGACAGCTCCCCAGCCTCACAGGTAGCCCCATAGAAAATCATGTTTAAAAAGAAAAAAGCCTCTGGCTGGGATTACACTATATTCTATTTAATAAGGCAGAACAACTATTTGGCACTTTCCTCTACATCAGATGGTCATATCTAGCTCTAGCAGCAACACATCAAGATGCACCCATCAATTCTGAATCTGATTCAAGGCACCAGGCTGCTTCATTGTTTGAGCTCATGAAAAGCAACTGGACAAAAGTTTCTTTTATCCTAAGCGTATCTATTTTATTACACTGGAAGCTAACTCATTCTGCTGGACCAC